TAGTATGGATAAGAAAACTGAGAGGTTAAATATCTTGCCAAGGTTACATTGTTGGCAGGTGGCAGAGAATGACTGAAGAACAGAACACTCAAAATATCCTTTAGGGACTTCCGTTTTGCTGGAAGGAGGTGTTCTGGAATGACTTAAACACCCTCATGCTGTAAGAAAACAAGGCAGCATATCCCAGCTTGTTTCTTCAAACAAGCAAAATCTAGTGAGAACACCAACTACGATCAACTCTTTAAAAATCAAGAAGAAAGAAAAACCCTATGAAATATTTTTGTGTATGGTGTTTGTGGCTTATTTCATTCATGAATTCGTCCAGGGTGTTACACAAGGTGGGTCACACAAGACTGGCATTGGTTCCACTGCACTGAGTTTAGCTACAAACAGTTATGCACTTGGAACCGAATGGCGTGAGACAACATCCAGCCTTGAGTCCTCAAGCCTGGCTGTGCAGTAGAATCTGGGGAGTTAACTGAAGAAGTTAAACAAAAACAAAAAATAAAAACGAGAATAAAAGCTGTTTTCTGGATCCTTCCCAGACCAATTGAATCTAGAAGTGGGGCCCAGGCATCTGCTTTCTATTGTTTTTTAAACTGTCCAGGAGCTTCTGTGATTCAATCAGCATTGAAAATCAGTCTCCTTATGCTGCAATAGAAGGAGCTCTGGTGGCATAGTGCCTAAGGCATTTGACTGCTAACCAGAAGGTTGGTGGTTCAAACCCACCAGCCACTTCTCGGAAGGAAGGTTGGGCAATCTACTTCTGTAGTGATACTGCCTCAGAAACACAAGGAGGGGTCACTATGAGTCCGATCTGACTCGATGGCAGTGAGTTTGGTTTGGTTTGGTATGTTGCATAGATGAGGAAACAGAGGTCCAGAAAGGAGCCTCAACTTGCCCAAGGCCCAGTGTTAAGGAAGGGGCAAGTTGAGTGTCCTGATGTCCAGCCTAGAGCCTACCAGCAACTTTCTATCTGCACCAGACTGGAGCACTCCCCACAGATACAGCCGCAGGTGTCATCTGGGGTATATCTCTGAGTCTCAGCTGGTAGAGTGCTTAGTACCTCCTGCTTCTTATCAGCTCCAGCCTTAAGGAGCTAGTGGTGCCCCTGAGTCCATCCATTCTAGCATTGCAGACTCTACCTTGAAGAGGACATACCCTCCCATCAAGTAGTCGGGTTACCAGGTAAGATACAAGATGCTGCTTGTGTTTGAATTTCAGATACACAATGAATAATTTCGTAGTATAAGTATATCTCATGTGTTATTTGCAAGTTTCTTTGCTAAATATGGTGATCCTAGGCACAGGGATAGGACTCTGGTCCTATCTAACCAACTTGAAAAGGAGAGCAAGCGGCTTATCCAAACTATGCAACTGCCTGTCAGCCTGTGCTCTTTCCACAGCACCATTTAGCACAGAGAGAAAGCACTGCATTTTAATTCAATAAAGAATCATGTTTTTTTGGAAAATATAGTGAGGGAAATGTTTGTTAGATTATCTTGTTCTTTTTCCCTGCCAGTAGACACATGACAACCTGGACCACAAGCTGTAGCTCAGGCAGGCATTCGTGTAATGGATGTTGGTGAAACTCCTCTAGGTGCTAGGTGTGGAGGTTCCTTCCTCAGATTAAAAAAAAAAAAAAATCAACAACAGTCTACATTGAGTCGATTCCAGCTCCCAGTAACCCTGTGCATGCAGTGTAGAGCTGGTCCATGGGATTTTCGAGGTTGTCACCTTTCAGAAGCCTGTCACTAGGCCTTTCTTCTGAGGCAGGTCTGGGTGTGTTTGAACCACCAACCTTTCAGTTAGTAGCTGAGCACTTTGCTGTCTGCAACACCCAAGGGCGCTTTCAGTTAGTAGTCAAGCATGTAACCATTTATGCTACTCAGGGACTCGTCTTCCCCAAATACCCACTGCCATCGAGTCGATTCTGGCTCACAGTGACCGCACAGGACAGAGTAGAACTGCCCCATAGGGTTTCCAAGGCTGTAGTCTTTATGAAGCAGTCAGCCTCATCATACTTAGATGGAAGTCAGCCTTCTACTGTAGTGCGGTCTAGGACTTCAGCTAGCGAAAGCACCCAGCCTCTGTCACTCAGAGGTTCGGCCTTTCTGAGAAGGCCAAGTTTTTCAAACTTAGAAGGATCTGGTCAGGATCACACTTACACCAAATTGCTGGAATTTGGAGAGTCTGTTCCTTTGATAAGTGTCAGGCTACCTTCCATCACCTTAGAGTTTAATTGATTTGAGCCTTAAGAAGCTTTTTTAAACAAAAGTCCCGGTGGAGATGAGGGAGGAAAGGTCAGGTTTCCTTGTGTAATTTGAAGCATCTTGCCCCTCCCTTCCTCCAGTCCTGCCCCTGCCTTTGGTTGAAGGTACCAGGAGAGGAACCTGGAACTCAGCCCAGACTTCTGCCTCTCCCTCATCTTCCAATCCCCCCCACTCCTCACCAAACCCCTTCTAGCAATCATGCCTGCTAGACTGTTTTCTGGAGCAGCTGCACCCACCAGCAGGGAGTGCAGGGAGGCTCCCCTCCTCCCACACTCTGGCCCCCACTAGGCATTATGCAGCTTTCTAATTTTGCTGGTCTAACAGGTGCAAGGAGTCCCTGGGTGGTGCAAATGATCAACATGTTTGGCTGTTAACCAAAAGGTTGAAAGTTCAAGTCCACCCAGAGATGCCTCAGAAGAAATACCTGGCAATCTATCAGAAAAATCAATGAAAACCCTATGGAGTACAGTTCTACTATGGACACATGGGGTTGCCATGAATTGAAATCAACTCAACAGCTACTCTGTGTGTGTGTGCTTCAGTGATACCTATATTGCTTTAATTTAAGTCTTTAACCCATCTGTTTGTGTTCTTGGGTTGCTGAAATCTTTGGATTCTGTTCCTGAGCATCTCTTTTATTTGCATCCCTTCCTCTTTGGCTCTCATCTCAACCCAGGTGAGTGTCTCCTCACTGCTGTCCCTGCCTCCTGCTCTCCTCACCCTTCTCAGCCAGCTGTCTAAAGATATGCAGGAACTTATCCCTTCTCTGCAGAAAGTCCTTCAAACACTGCCGCGGCATCCTTAATAAATAAGCAGACTTCTCTCTCTGCCCTTTGAGGCTGTATAAACTCTGGCTCTGGCTGGCCTTCCTTCCTCACCCTTGCCCCCATCCAGTTGCCTGCTCATACCTCCCAGGTCCCTAACCTTACCCTGCTTGCTCGGCTCTATCCCTTGGCTCATGCTCTTCTTTCACATATCTGGGGTACCACCTCTGGCCAGCCTAGTGACTCCCTCAATGCCCAGGATTAAACGCAGCCTTCTCTGAAGTTCAACTAGCCATGGCCTCCACTTTCTTTGGACTTGCTTTCCTCCCATGTGCCCTTGTCTGATCTCTCTCAGCAGACTGAGGAGCTGCTGCACATAAGTGATTCTCATTTCTCCCTCCCCAGTAGCAACTCACACAGGCCAGTCCACACCGCAGGCAATGGATCCAGATAGGAGGCTGTTCAATAGTTCAGTCCAAGGAGACAGAGTCCAGGGGTGGAAAAGGAGAAAAGATCAATGAATGCTTTGACTTTCAGCTTCTAGGCCATAAAGATTAACCTACTGCCATCAAGTCAATTCTGACACATAGTGACCCCCGTTGGGTTTCCGAGGTGGTAAACCTTTACAGAAGTAGATTGCCCCATCTTCCTTCTGTGGAGTGGCTGGTGGGCTTGAACCACCAACCTTCTGGAAAGTAGTCAAATGCCTGAGGCACTGCCCCACCAGAGCTCCTTTTATGAGGATGAAAAAGGAGGAGAAATTAGGACCAACCCCCAGCTCCTGACTGTGGTGGTTCTCTGGATAGAAACCCAGGAGGAGCTAGGGTCAGACTCTGGCTTTACCATGTTGGTGACTGTGCTGGTAGACCACTGGGGTTGCTGAGCAAACATATCTCAGGTGAAGCTGAGAAGAGCTGAGTTCACAGAAGAGATGTGGGGTTATCAGTGTGGGGGTGGCATCTGACGGTGACAAGCTGGAGTTTGCTCAGGGAGGCAGAATGGAAGCAAACCCTGGAGAGGCCAACATGTAAGAGGTGGTTGGGGGAAGACTGAAAAGAGTGGCTGAAGTTGGATAAAAGGGTGATGTCTTGAGAACCAAGGAAGAAAACTGTCCATGAGTGAATGATCTACAGAGTCAGAGGCTGTGGGAGGTCAAGAAAGCTAAGGACTGAAGCATATCTGTCCCTGCTGCCCAGCTCACTCATCTCCTCCCTTCTCACCTCAGCCCTGTTTTTTCTTCCCCACCTTTCCATCCCCAGAGAACTCCTCCTACCTGAGCCCCAGCCCAAGGTGCGTCCAGCTCTCTCAGGGAGCAGCCATCCCGTCTGCTGAACAAGCAATGGCACAGCTCTTTCAGCCCTCTGAGGAGCTCGGTAATGAAAGCCAAGCAGCTGATGTTTACCTACCCAAGGAGCTATTTCATCTTTATTTCTCCTGGATGCCAGCATTGGAAGTAGATGCTAACAACATGATTTCCTCCTCATTTTTCTGGTTGCTTCTGCTTTTATCACCTCCTGTTTCTCTGTATATCCATTAAAATCAGAATTCCAAGAAGAGAAATAGAAATGGAAATTGGCTTTTGAATTGGATATCAAAAGAGTGTGGCCTTCATTCTGCATAACAAGAGCAGGGGTGAATGTGCCTGAGGAGGCTCTGAACTTGAGGGTGGGGAAGAGAGTGAGGGGAGTGTGTTGAGTAATAGAAAAACACTGGAGTGGGGGGAGATGATGTTTTATTTTCCAGACATGATGCAGCTTTAAAGGCTACTTTGTGAAATACAGTTTCAGACTCCCAGAGAGGGCCTTATGAGGAATGAGGAGAGAAGGAGGAAGAAAAGACAGACTCTGGGTGTGGAGCAGGCCTAACTTCACCTTGGAGAAATAATCTTGCATTTGAAAAACTAAAGACTCAGCTTTCCCTCAGCCCCCACTCCTCACCTGATCAGGCCAGGGAGGTTAGCTACCTAGGTGTCCCCTGCCTGGGCCTCAATAGACAGAGTGACCCGCATGGAGCCGCAGCTTGACCTCAAGTCCCACTCCCGAGTGGTGTTGTATGCCAGTCCCGGGGTTCCCGAGCCCTGCCGAGGAGAGAGTTGGATGTTTAGCCAGCGGCACCGAGCCTCATCACAGGCCAGCACCACTGTGCCTTCAGGGTTGCTGTAGGTGCATGGGCTTCGTGCCCTTCCCGCTGCGGCCAGATCCCAGATGCCCCCTGGCTCCTGTTCATCCAGCCCTGGGCCCTGGAAGCCCAAGCGGTCCCTGGTGACAGGGCACACCAGCTGCTTTTCCTCTAAGGCAGGTACCACCTGGCCCTTGAGGTAAGCAGGCCCGGCGCAGTAGGTCTGGATGTTGAAGAGCCGGTCGCTGTACTGGCGCAGCCAGCTGAAGAGGTAGGCCAGATGGCAGTCACACTGCCAGGGGTTGCTGTGCAGACCGAGGTTGAACAGGTTGTAGTTGGTGTCAAAGATGCCCTCTGGGAGTGTGGTCAGGAGGTTCCTGGAGAGGCTGAGCAGCTCAAGGTTGGACAGGTTCTGGAAAAGGGCTGGGTGCAAGGCTGTCAGGTTGTTGCTGCCCAGATAGAGCCTGACCAATCCCTCAAGGTCCCAGAAGACACCAGCTGGGAGGTGGGTGATGGCATTATGTGAGAGTGTGAGGGAGCTGAGTCTAGACAGGTTGGCAAAGGCTTCCTCAGCAACGGTCTCCAGCTGGTTGTGAGACAGAGATAGCCCCACCAGGCCTGAGGTCTGGGCAAAGAGGCCGGCTGGCAGTGTCCGCAGTGAGTTGCCCTGCAAGTTCAGGAAGGTGAGGTTGCCCAGGGAGGAGAAGACAGAGAGTGGCAGGCGCTCAATGGCATTGCGCTGCAGCCACAGCTTCTCCAGGCAGAAGAGCTGCGAGAATACCTCAGGGGACAGCTGTGATATCGAGTTGCCATCCAGAAAGAGCTCCTGCAGGCTACCCAGCTTGCTAAACACGCCCTGGGGAAGGTCAGAGAGAGCATTGTTGCTCAACTTCAGGGTCTGCAGACTGACCAGTGGGTCGAACAGCTCCTCGGGGAGCTGGGTCAGGAGGTTCTGAGCAAGGTTGAGGGTCCTCAGATGTCCCAGAGGATGGAAGAGCCTTAAGGGCAGTACTTTGAGGCGGTTCCCCTGCAACTGGAGGGACTCCAGGGCATCCATGTGCTGAAAGAGGCCCTCGGGCAGTGCCTCCAGCTTGTTGAAGTTGAGGGTGAACTTGCTCAGAGAGGTCAGGTTGGAGAAGATGCCAGCAGTGAGGTTGGAGAAGGCACTGCCAGTGATTTCCAGGTCCTCGAGCCTGGGCAGTCCCCCAAAGGCATCCGGCCCAAAGTGGCAGAGCTGGGTATTGAGGAAGACCACCTTTGTCAGGTTGGGGCTACTGCTGAAGGCCCTGGTTCCCACCATGGAGAACAAGGTTTCCACAAAGATGATGTTTGTGGCATAGGACGGGATGTCCAGTGGCACAGCGGCCAGCTCCTCGTCCAAGCAGAACACCTCCTGGATGATGCAGTCACAGCCTTCAGGGCAGGGTTGGGTAAGCCTGGCCAGGAGAAGAAGGGAGGCCCAGCACAGCCAGGCTGCAGGACTCATCTCCTAGACCAAGTAGGAAAAGATGAGAAAACAGAAAATGTGCCTTAACAAGGGCAAAAAAAACCAAACCAAACCAAACTCACTGTTGTGGAGTCAGATCCAACTCATAGCAACCCCTCCTTAGGTTTCTGAGGCGGTATCTCTATGGAAGTAGATCACCCAATTTTCCTTCCGAGGAGTGGCTGGTGGGTTTGAACAGCCAGCCTTCTGGTTAGTGGTCAAATGCCTTAGGCACTATGCTACCAGAGCTCCTTAACAAGGACAGTATGGTACAATGACCAGAACCCTGGGCAGTGAGCCAGAAGATGGAACAAATGGTTAGCTCCATCAGGTCACCCAGTTGGCAGCACTTTGTATGTTTAATAGCTTGTTTTCATACCACCTCCCAGCAGACTTGCCAAGTAGGTGGGGCTGGTTTTCTCACTACCATCTGATGGTGAGGGAGTTCCAGGGCCAGTCCATTGTCACCCTGCAAGTCAGTGGAAATGGCAGGACCAAGACCCAGGTTTCCTGGACTCTCCATGCCCAGATTGGGGAAAGAAGTGGGTATAAGATAACAAGACAGATATAAAAGGAGATCAGGGGTACTGCGAAAATTTTTTTTAACACAATATATAAAATATGTCGTGCAAACAGTTAAGCACTCAGACGCTAATGGAAAGGTTGGCAGTTCGAGTCCACTCGGAGGTGCCTTGGAAGAATGCCCTGGTGATCTCCTTCTGAAAAATCAGCCACTGCAAACCCTGTGGAGCCCAGTTATAATCTGACACATGTGGGGTCGCTATGAACTGGAATTGACTCGACAGCAACTGGTTACTGGTTTATATAAAATAAGGATATGTTATTCCTGAGTTGGAAATTCATAAATTGTAACTCTTCCTGAGTTTCCATATCTTAGCACTCTGCAGACCCTAACTATGAGGGGGTTCTTACCATCAACTCTTTGCACTGTTTGCTGAGGGTGAATGCAGCCACATGAGGAAGAGAACTGTTTCCCTAAAATGAGTTCACAGCCTCCTCAGCATTGGGGCCAAAATGCTCTCCTCTGCCCATTCCCCCTACACACACACCTCAGCCCAGGCTATTGGAATGTTCCAACTTGTATAGAGAGGAGTGTCTCAACTCAGGGAGTCCATAGATTTTTAAATAAGGGAAGAGGGCCAAGTATTATGCTAAAAATTAATTATTAAACAAACAAACAAAAACCTGCCACCATCTACTCACAAGTCACAAACTGGAGACACAGCTTACAAGTGTGTTATGTTTATCCCTTGAGGATCTTTTATATATATGAGCTAATAGTGAACATTTACGGGAGCATTGGTGGTTCAGTGGTAGAGTCCTCTCCATGCTGCAGATCCTGGTTCAATTCCCAGCCAGTCCACCTCATGCACAGCCACCACTCAACTGTGGATGGAGATTTGTGTATTGCTTAGGGGTGAATTACCCAATAAATAAGCAAAGTAAGCACGGGGTTACTTGTGCTTACTTACTAATCTGTAGGAAACAGTTTCATGTTTTTTATTTGTTTTTTACCACAGATATGAAACGGTTCACTACTGATTAGTACACATTAAGCCTGTGCTTACCTTGCTTACCTTGCGTCACTGTCAGGGACTGTAAATTTAATCTGTTTGTGCCTCAATTTCCTTATCTGTAAAATGGAGTTAACAATAGTGCCTGCCACATTAGGGTAATTGTGAGCATTAAGTAAGTAAATATAGATAAATATTTTAGGCCAGCATCTGATTTAGAGTGAGCAACAAATAAAGTATGTTAACCATCATTATTTAAGTTTGCAAGCCACTTAGTCGAACACCAGAGAAAGTAGAACAAGATGTCCTTTAAACAGAATGTAGTTAGCTTTAGGAAAAACAAAATCCCCCACAACAAAATCCTAACTTTTCTCAGATTACCTCTCACAATAACTCACAGAGAGGTTGTCATTGTTATGTGCCGTGGAGTCAGGCCCTACTCAAAGTGACCCCTCCTTAGAGTTTCCCAAGGCAGTATTACTACAGAAGTAGATTGCTCAACCTTCCTCCCAAGGAGTGGCTGGTGGATTTAGAAACGCCAGCCTTCTGGTTAGCAGTCAAGTGCCTTAGGCACTATACTACCAGAACTCCTCGCAGAGAAGTACATGTCAGCAATCTTGGCATACCTGCTTTTTCTGGCTGCCTCACTGCTGCCCTCTGTTGGCTGCCTCATTCAGTGTGAAGTTTCAGCTTTCAGTTGAAAGCCTCCCAGGCAAAGGGCTTTCAGGCCAACACCAGGCTTAACAAAAGTCCCCTTTATCCTCTTCCCACTCAGATACCGATCAATTCTCAGGTTTTCCAGGGATTTTTTTTTTTCTTTTCTGTCTAATCAATAGAAAAGGGACAAATTTCTCCCTGACAAATTTATCCCAGAGCAAACACATACCTCCCTTAAGGTATCCTTCAAGATAACTCTCTAACAATATTAGCAGCTAACCTAGGATTAGAACCTGACTCCTTCCATTGCTTCTTCCAGGAAATTGTCTTTGCTATTTAAGGCCAGTGTGTGCCTTTAGGACAGCTCTGGTGGTGTGGTGGGTAAAGCTCGGGGAGCCCAAGTGAAAGGTCAGCTGTTGGAACCCACCAGCCACTCTGCAGCTTCCATGAAGCAATCTGCTGTATCCTAAAGGGTCACTTTGAGTTGAAATCAACTCGTTGACAGTGGGTTTGGTTTTTCAGTCTGTGTGCCTCTAAGCCAGCGGCTTCAGAGTTTAGTTTGCAATTGCTTATTCTCTTGAGATTGCATGCATATAAGACAGATAAAAAGCAGAGCGCGTCTGGCTAAAGACAGATGGGGTAGCCATTGTCTCATCTCACAGCTGCCACTGTCACCTGGATCTCCCCTGAAACACTGACACAAAACCCCAAGGAGTCCTGAAGAAAGCCTTCTCTGACCCCGGTACCAAGGCACCTGGAGTGAGTCTCTCCATCCTACTGTTGAGCATGGTGATTTTGGGGAAGCAGATTGTCAAGCTTTTCTTCCATTGCACCTCTAGAGGGACTCAAACTATCAGCCTTTTGGTTAGTGGCTGAGCACATTAGCCATTGATGTCACCCAGGAGCCCTGGTGGCACAGTGGTAAACTGCTTGGCTGCTAATCAAAAAGATGGGTGATTGGAACCCACCGCTCCACTCCTTGGAAGAACAAGGAAGCAATCTGCTCCTGTTTACAGCCTTGGAAACCTTATAGTCTACTCTGTCTTATAGGGTCGGTATGACGACAGTGGGTTTAGTTGTTTTTTTTTTCCCCCTACAGTCTCCTAACAGCATTGTTGTTAGCTGCCACCAAAGTGGCCACCAACTCATAGTGACCCCATGCACAAGAGCATCAGAGTGCTGTGATTCACTAAGGTTTTCATTGGCTGATTTTCAGACATAAATCACCAGGTCTTTCTTCCTACTCTTTCTAGCCTCCACTGACAGATGGGTGGTGCTTGTTGTTGTTGTTGTTATGTGCTGTCGAGTCAAACCCGACTCATAGCGACCCCTCCTTGGGTTTCCTAGGCAGTATCACTACAGAAGTAGGATTGCCCAACCTTCCTTCCGAGGAGTGGCTGGTGGGTTTGAACCGCCAGCCGTCTGGTTAGCAGGCAAGTGTCTTAGCCACTATGCTACCAGAGCGCATTGGCCAGAAATCATACTAGGTCTTCTCATGGCAAATGAGAATTCTACCACTAAAGCAGCACTACCCCTGCACTTGGCATTGTTATGTTATGTGCCGTCGAGTTGGACCCGGCTCATAGTGACCCCTCCTTGGGTTCCCAAGGCAGTATCACTACGGAAGTAGATTGCCCAACCTTCCTTCCAAGGAGTGGCTGGTGGGTTTGACCCACCAGCCTTCTGGTTAGCAGTCAAGTGCCTTAGGCACTATACTAACAGAGCACAGTCCCCGGAAATGATTGGTTTTGATGGCTGCCTTTCCCCCACTACACAGCAAAGCATAAGCTTCTTGAAAATAAAGATTTTACAAAAAGATGCATGTGCTCATCTTTGTACACCCAGCATCCAGCACAGTATCTGACTGACAGTGGGCTCAGTGAGTGTTCGTTGAACTGAACTCTCCAAGGATGGTGTCATAGATTGAATTGTGTTCCTCCCAAATATGTGTCCTCTTGGCTGGGCCATGATTCTCAGTGGTTTGGCAGTTATGTAATGATGTAATCACACCCCAGGATGTGATCAGCTAATCAGTTGCAAGGAGATAAGGGTGCGATGCAGCAGTCTTACTTAAGCCATAGCTCTGCTCTGATGTTAAGAGATCCCTGAGGTGTGGCCTGCATTGCCTTTTATCTCACAAGAGATGAAAGATGAGAGAAGCCAGTGGAGAGGGAACTACTACCTGCAAGAAAGAAGAACCAGGGCCGAGTGTGTCCTTTGGACCTGGGGTCCCTGCACTGAGAACCTCCTAGATGCAGGAGAAGATTGAGGCCAAGACACATGGAGATCTCCAAGGAGCACCAGGACCACAGATGTTGAAAGGAGACAAAGACCTTCCTCTAGAGCTGATAGAAAAAGCCTTCCCCTAGAGCTAGCACTCTGAATTTCAGACAGAGAAGGATCCAAGGGTACATAGCCAAGAAGTGAGGGGTTAGAATAATCCCAGGGGTGTGGCCTCTAAGCAGGGTACTTTCTGCTGCACCATGAATGATACTTCTGTACCAAGGCAGTGGAATGGATAGGATGGACAGGGCCACCCCTCACAATTGCAGGAGCCATGATGAAAGTATAAATCGCCCACTCACTGTCTGCCCCCTTTTCTTGCCACTTTGATTCTCTCTGTACTGTAAGCACCGACCCCCATCTCCACACCCCGCTGTCCCTGCCCCCCCGAAGGCCCGAAGGTGTGTGCTTCTATGTTATGGTGAGCCTTTAGGAAGATGGCCTGGGAAGCAACCTAAGTAGGCCCTGGGTCTTGGGTCTTGGGTGCCTGAAGCGTGGTTTAAAATGTGGGCATAACCTCTGATG